AATAACAGACAAAATAAAAGCATAAATACTTTTTTTTTTAAAGATATGAAAAGAAAAGACTATTCGATACACCTGTGGTATGGACAGAGTTTAGAGTCATGTTTTTGATGTGTAGTGCAAACCAATCACAAATAGACTTAAATGAACTGGAACTGTGGTTGTCTAGATTACATCACATTAATTTTACTTTTACCTTTTTTAAAACAGGGATCGAAGACGGCTAAGTCATTATCAGACAGCAGAGGTGGTTCTTCGTCCTTTGGAGAGGGGACCTGTGGTCCTGCTACACAGTCAAACAGGGAATCAAACTCTTGGGATTCCTGTGACTTTTGAATTCTAGCAGGGGATGGTTGAAGAGATAGGGCTGGAGTTAAAAACAAGAGAATAATCAGTGAGCAGAGCAGGAAAATGAATATGGCCACTAAATTAACGTCTGGAATAGTTTTCAGTTCCCATGTTGCACCTGTATCGTCTAACTCTGCATCACTGAGCTCCTCTCTTTCTTCTTCTCTTGGCGTGCCTCCAATCTCACTGTAAGCCTCGGCTGCCACTTCAGGCTCTCCCAGTTCCAATCCCAGGTTGGTACCGAGGTCCTGAGGTAAAGTAGGAGCCTCTTTCCCCTCCTCCTCCTCAGCTGGCTCACAGTCTGAGGCCCTTCGTTTTGGTAGTGGGATGAGAGGTGGAGGAAGAGGCCCAGAAGAGGACAAGGGGGATGGATCTAAAGGTCTTGTGACTTCCCCACCCTGATAAAGGGAGAGAAAGGACGAGTTGAGAGAAAAAAGGTTAAAAAAAAATAAAAATAATTCTACTAAATATGTGTCCATGTGCATCTCACTCTAAAGAAGTCCTTCAGCTGGGGGCTGTTGTAGAGTGCAGGTATAGAAGTAGTGAACAAAAGCATGGCTTCTGCTGCTTTCCTTCTCTCCTCGATCACAGCTTCTTCAAACCGTCCTAACACAGAAATTCACAACACAAATAGAAATGAATGACCACATTTTTTTTACTTAAAGGTGTGAACATTGAAACTTGCATGTTTAAATTCAACTTGACAATAACAGTAGCAACAATGGTTTTTAATCCCGACACTACTTTGCAGTTGTTTATATTTTAATTATTAATTGCAAAACTATTGAACAAAAATACCACAGGCCCAGAGAGGAAGATGTCATATGAATCATAATGAAATCCTCAAAACAGGAAATTGATTAATTCTACACAGATATGTCAATGTCACAGAAAGCATCTGTGAACTCTGTGAATAAAACTGTGTCCATAATGATAATTAGATGTGTGTGAAACGTTAATTACTTATGGTAAGTGTTGAAAGGTTCTGCTAGGCAACTGGACATGAAACTTTCCTGCTTTCCTTTGACAAAATTTCACATCCAGTTGCCTAACAGAACTCTTCAACCTTGACCTGGGTGACTGAGAATCTTCATAGACATCTTACTTATGGTATGTTTAGAGTTTATTTTTTAAAAATGGTTACCAAATACTTGTGCTCGGGGGAATGGTGGAAACTCCTCCTGTCTCCTGAACAGGTTCCTGTGTGTGTAGGCCAACTCTCCGTGAAGCTTCTTCAGCTCTGAGAATCTTCTCCACACCACAACCTCCTTCACATCCTCTGGATGAGGCTTGGACACAAACTACAAATCACAGTCACACGATTATTACACCAATGAATTACATACTCAGCATTAGACCTTAAAGCACAACAAATGGCAGTGGTGCTCAGTGCTGGGGATATGGGTTCAGGTTGTTTGAGACTAAAAACAAGAGCTCATTTTATTGGTCTTACAATATTTGTGTGCAAACGTAAAGCAGGGTGACTATGAACACTGTGGTTTCATGTGCGTTTCATGGTGGATCACGGGGTATTAGTGGCGTCATGGGGAAATTAGAGCTCAAACACCGAATCACATGTTCCCCCTGCTTCAGTGCGACCTCAAAGAAAAGGCTCATTGTACGCGTTTCAAAGCGCAGCTGCAGGACACCGTTGTTATGATGACTAGTACTGTTAATTATTCTGTTATAAAGGACAAAGCGTAAGCGCACCATGGACGATAACAATATGGTTAGCCATTTACGGGCTTAAGTGACAGAACGTGAAAGATTAAATGCAAAATAAACAGTTAATAAACGTAGTGCATTATATCTGTAGAAGAGGGAAATGAAAATGAACCAACCCTTGCTGTGACTTTGTACTCCGTGTATCCTTTTTCGTGAGAACGCGGATCACTAACGGTAAAAAACCGGTAATATTCATCTTTGTGTTTTCTCGACATGTTTCGTCTCGTCGTTACTGACCACAAAAACAAAAAACTGCATGTATTTTCCTTAGAAACTGCCGCTGTCAACAGCCTGGTCAGCTCTGTTATGATGTCTCGGTTCCTCCTCTCCACTCACTTCCTGTTTGTGTGACGTAGTCATTGCGTCAATACGTCAACGCCGTATCTTCCAAATTATTAAATGTCTATGGATAAAAACCCTCTTAAATCGTTTCTTTTCGAACAAATCCACAAAATTCAAAGTTTCAAACTTTCATTCACAAGTGGTAAAGGTTTTCAATTTTCAAACATCCCTTTATTAAAAAAATACTTGTCATGACTCATGTCTTCTGTTTTTATAACGTATTCCCCTGCAGTATTAAAATATACAATCATTTGTCTTGGGATTAAATCTTAAATAAACAGATGCAAAGCAATATAGTGTGTATGTTTTTTATATATTAAAATGGAGAGCTATTTAAAATGATGTCGATTGAGATTCTGCCACAGTCAGTGTCAGAAAATTAAAGCCAACATTGCTTCCACTTAAGTTTTATTGTATGTTTGTGACCCCAAAGCCCATTTGTTTGTTGTGCTTTGTTGTCATCTTGTTTCTCTAACTAAAACATTTATCTATGCACTTTATTGCATAATCTTTGCAAACTGTAGTTACTGATGAAAAACA